AAGGAAGTACGCTGTAAAAAAATGACTTATAGATGTTAGTCAGCCTTATAATTCTGTGCTGGGTTTCCTAACGCTGGCATATTTAGGAAACAAGTTTACTACATAAGTAAACAACAATAAATCCAATATATACTGTACTCAATTTACGTCTGAAGGCAGAGAAGGATCTGAACGTCAGAGGTGCTCTATACAACATACTGCAGACCCAGGTAAAGTGATCTCTTTGATGAAAACCATCAAAATCCATTCTGTGATACAGAAGGTGTACTATATGTGAACTACTGTAAGTGTTTATATCTTCTGTAATAAAATAAACATTCTTCTCACTATACAATGACAAGCTTGCTTTCTTTACCTTATTTCAAATATTTAGGTTGTCTTGATATTGTGACCTCACTTAAACAGATCTCTAAGCAATTCCCGCTGGGCTATATGCAAATATGCCTCTCGTATTCTGGGTAATGTCATTAAGGTGGCAGGTTTCTAGGTCTGCGTTTTACATACCGGCTTGGTTGTAACAACGTGGTGGAGACTTTTGCCCATGGTCAGGATGTTGAACAAATACAACAGAAATTCCTTATGACAGGGCCCTCTTGTTTTACCTACAAGTTTAGAGGGGTTTCCTACATTATTCATAGATTTACCAAATTCTCTTAATGCCAGCTTTATTTCACATTTGTATACTATATATAATTGCTATACAAGGCCTTTTGTAAATATAAAGGGTTTGTATGTAATGTAACTCCAGCAAATAATGTTTATATCTAAACTGAATGTTCCATTAACAAAATCATATCACCATTTCAGAAAAAAACAACCCTTTATTTAAATTTTTTTTTTTTTGTGGGGGGTCTAAAGTCTTGTAGGTGCAACATAATTACAAGACACAGTTTAAAGTGACACTAAACTCAGGAGTTAAATCTTAAAAATTCATTCAAGTACCTTAACTATTAATACAAATGTATCTTATTTGTGTATCACTCAGCTGTAGATCCTCCAATCATCTCTGAATTGGTGCTGACACTGTCCTTCCTTCTGGAGGGTGGCTACTTTTGTTCCCCATGGTCCCTGTGTGTGTTGTGAAGTAGCCACCACACCAAGCTCACTCCTGTGATTGGCTACAATCTCAATACACATTAGTAAACTAAACATGAGATTGGAGTCCATCACAGAAGTGAGCTTGCTGCGGTGACTACTTTACAACACACACAGTGACCATGGGGAACAAAAGTAGCCCCCCTCCAGAAGAAAGGACAGTGTCAGCACCAATTCAGAGATGAGTTGAGGACCTACAGCCGAGTGATACACAAATAAGATAAATTTTTGGTAATAGTTAAAGTACCTGAATAAATGTTTAAGACTTAAAGTGACATTAAAGTAAAACAAATGTCTCCCTCCCCCCCCAATGTTAATTAACCACCTGCTGTCCGGTGGTTGTAATTAAACGGCCACACAGAGGCTTCTTGAATGCGGGTGGGCGTTTTTAAACGTCCCATCCCGCCCTGCTGGTTGTAAGGTACTTAAAAAAACGTATGATCTGCCTATCTTGCATAGGCAGATCGTACTTGCGATGATCGCAAGCTGCGCCCCCCTGAGGGGCGGGCTTCCGATGACCGCAATGCCGAACGGGCAGTGTGCGCTTGCGCACACCGGCCCGTCCAGCCTTTATCTTCCGAACATGCTTCCCACCCCCCCAACA